GCCAGGTGGCATCATTGATGGACTCAAGTGTGGAAGCAGCAGTAGTGAGGTTGGCCCAGGATCGAACATTGTTTCGTTCTGCTGTGCATGGGGTCTCTATGAGTCAGTTCCGACTTGATGGCACCTGACAACAACAACAACCACCTTGCATAATGGAGCCCTGATGGCATAGTGAGTACATGCTGGGCTGCTAAGCACAGGGTCAGCCATTCTTCAGGAGAAAGAGGAGACTGTATGCTCGCATAAAGCCTCAGAAACCCTATCCAGGGTCTCTCTTGAGTTGTACCCGACTGAGTTGTACCCGACAGTCACCACCAACTACCACTACCAGTAGACTTGCATTTTTTAAACTTACAGATGTTTTCAAACACACAGAATAGCACAATGAGACCCAAATACCCATAAACCAGCTTTAGGAACCGTTAACTTTCTGCATTCCTGATTTCATGCATTCTTCTTACCACCTCATTATTTTTTCTAAATTTGCTTTTTAATTTTACATATGTATGTTTGGAGTTGGAAAAATGTTAACATTTAGCTTAAAACAGACTGCCTTAAATCTCATTCTACTGAGAAAGTAGTGGCTCAATGGGAATGTTAACACTTAAGAAAATTTGAAATGTCTTTTGAAAATATTACCTAGAAGAAAGCCATCAAATGTAACTTATTTATTCTTAGTAATATTTGAGTTCAGTAATTTTAAGCTGTTTTACAATCTGTATGAAGGCATGAGGTGGCCTGTTGTTGTTGTTGTTAAGTGCCGTCAAGTCAGTTCTGACCCATAACGACCCTGTATAGGGTTTCCAAGGAGCAGCTGCAAACAGTTCAAACAGTTTTGCAGTTCAAACAGCTTTGCAGTCTGGCACATTAACCCACAGCGCCACACCAGGTCTCCGTGAGGTGTCCTAGAGATAGGAACATTTTATTCTTACTATTTGTAACTTTCCTTAGAAAGGGACATTTTACAGGTTCCTGAGAGGTGTGGCAGGGTCATTTCTGTACTTTGGATCCCCTAAGGAGCTCTGACAGACAACTTCCAGAGGTTCAAGCTGGATTCAGAAGAGGCCGTGGAACAAGGGATATCATTGCTGATGTCCACAATCGATCTTGGCTGAAAGCAGAGACTATCAGAAAGATGTTTACCTGTGCTTTATTGACTATGCAAAGGCTTTCGATTGTATAGATCATGACAAGCTATGGACAACAATGCAAAGTATGAGTATTCCTGAATGCTTAATTGTGCTCATGAGGAATCTGTCCATGGACCAAGAGGCAGTTGTTCGAACAGAACATGGAAACACTGAATATTTTAAAATTAAGAAAGGTATGCAACAAGGTTGTATTCTTTCACTATACTTATTCAACCTGTATGCTGAGCAAATAATCCGAGAAGCTGGGTTCTATGAAGCAAAACGTGGCATCAGGATTGGGGGAAGACTCATTAACAACCTGCAATCTGCAGATGATACAGCCTTGCTTGCTGAAAGTGAAGAGGATTTAAAACTTTACTGATGAAGATCAAAGAGCACAGCCTTCGGTATGGATTACATCTCAATGTAAAGAAAACAGAAATCCTCACCGCTGGACCAATAAACAACATTCTTATCAATGGAGAAGATTGAAGTTGTCGAGGACTTCGTTCTTCTTAGATCAACTATCAACACTCAGAGAAGCAGCAGTCAAGAGATCAAATGGCGTATTGCGTTAGGCAAATCTGCTGCACAGGAACTTTTTATTTATTTTTAAAGTGTTGAAGAACAAAGATGTCAGCTTGAAGACTAAGGTGTGCCTGACCCAAGCCATGGTATTTTTAATAACCTCATATGCATGTGAAAGCTGGACAGTGAATAAGGAAGACCATAGAAGAATTGATGCCTTTGAATTATGGTATTGGAGGAGAATACTGAAAGTGCCATGGGCTCCCAATAGCACCAATAGATCTGTTTTGGAAAAAGTACAGCCAGAGTGCTCCTTAGAGGCCAAGATGATCAAACTTCATCTCTCATACTTTGGACATATTGTCAGGAGGGAGCAGTCGCTGGAGAAGTATATCATGTTTGGTAAGGTGGAGGGTCAGAGGAAAAGAGGAAGTCCTCCAATGAGATGGACTGGCCAAGTGGCAGCATCGATGGGAGTCAAGCGTGGCAACAATAGTGAGGTTGGCCCAGGATCAGGCAGTGTCTCGTTCTGTGCATAAGGTCGCTATGGGTTGGTACCCACTCGATCACACCTAACAACAACAAGAAGCTCTGGTAGCATAGTGGTTATAAATCAGGCTGCTAACCTTAGGGACAGCAGTTCGAAACTACCAGCTGTTCTGCGGGAGAAAGATGAAGCTTTCTGCTCCCATAAAGATTTAAAGGCTTGGAAGCCCTGCACAGGGTCGCTATGAGTTGGAATCGATTTGACAGCACTTCACAACAACAGCATTGTCTTAATGACTTATCATATCATGGGGAATCATCACAGATTTGCCATACCACTGAGAATCTGGCCCAGCTAAATTAACACATATATTTTGGGTAGGGAGGAGGAAACAACACAATATAATCAAAAGATGACATTTATCATCCTGATTCCTGGTGCTTTACAGAAAACGTTTGCTGACCCCTAAATGTTGTTGTTAAGTGCCATCGAGTCGGATCCAACCCATAGCAACCCTATACAGTGTTTCCAAGGAGCGACTGGTGAGCTTGAACCTCTGACCTTGCAGTTCAAACGGCTTTGCAGTCTGGTGCATTAACCCACAGCACATACCAGGACTCCTAAATAAGTCAGTGCAAAAAATGTGGCAGCATGCATTCCTCCCACAGCCCTCTCTATTCAACTGGGCTGAATAATTCACTGCAGTGGCTCTATAGAACTCAAAGACAGTACTCAGAGGTGTGGGGTTTATTAGGGAAGTTAGCAAGTTACAATTCCAGGTCACAAATATTCAGGGTACAGTTGTTCCAGTCAGCTGCTGATAAATGCCCATTGCACACACCACTCCACCATAAGCCTCAATCTGAATGCACTTGGCTCTGTGGGTCAGCAAGCCTAGCTCCCTTACTTAAGTGCCTAGAAGCAGCCACTCTACAAGCAAATTTCCTGCCCCAAATCACTTTACTTGCTCTGTGGGCTGAGAAGTCCACTGCTCTGTCTCGTACTCTGGTTCTTGGTCCTGCTGCACCTCTCCCACTCCTCCGGTGTCACAGCTTTCTGGCCCTGGGTCAACAAGGTTCAGTGCACAGGGACCTTGGGGTCCAAAGGACAAGGTCCACTCTTGGCTCTTATTTGATAGTAGTGAGATCGTCCCCTTCTGCTTCCAAGATGACTCATTTTAAACCATGCTAGAGTTTTAGATTTTTATTATTACAGTGCACTACCTAACATCCATAGCGGATCATGTCATCCTATCAGTATCTTCTTCTTCCACCTTCTCTTACCCAGACCCAGAAGAGCAGAAACATTTGGTGGGAATTAGAGACTATGGTTGCAAGAGACATTAGATAATTCAATATACCAGAGTCAGTGATTAACATAGGAGTCCTGGTGTGGCGCTATGAGATAAGCGCTCTACTGCAGGATCAGTTCAAACTGCAAGGTCATCAGTTCAGACTCACCAGATGCACCTCAGAAACCCTGTACAGGGTTGCTATGAGTCAGAAACAACTCAGCAGCGCTTAACAACAATATTTCTTTTAGGAATGTTAATGTCAAATACAGAAAAAGGTAAAAATGTCTGAAAGGTAAATAGCAATTACATAATATTTATTGAATTATATTTTTTTCTGGCAAGATTGGATAGCAAACACAACTTTTAAAAGAACATTTGAGGTGTGTTGCTATAGTTATAAGTATTACCCCCATGTAAGCAAAAAGAAGTTACTGTCAGATACTTCTTTTCATTAGTAGAAATTATAGAAGAATATCAGACATATATGACCTCTTCCCCGTACAGGTAAGGCAGATTTGAACTTCTTATCTCTCACACTTTGAAAGAGCCACAAATGGTTATGAGTTGGGTGGTCTTGCCTCACTGCCAAAGGACAGCCCTGGAAAGAAACATCTTTATTCAGCAGAAAATCTGTCTTAGCCCCAGGCCTGGCCTGTAATTGAGAGGCCTTTGCCTCTTGACAGTGCCACTGTTTTCTCTATAGTTTGGCTGCTGTGAAAACTAGCTCTTTTTTCAGCCTCTTTTATGCTCAAGGAATTTTTGCTTCAGAGAATTTATAGAGGCATGTTTCTGTGTGGTGTGTAGGCTACTAGATTTTTTTTTTTTTTTCCAGGTATTTCCAGTGGTCGCATTCATATACCAGTTTTAGGAAGGTTTGGAACTTTTGAAACTCAGATTCTGCGAAGAGCTCCTTTTAGAACCTTTACAGAAACACCAGCATACTTTGCCTCAAAAGATGGGATGAGTAAAGATGGCTCTGGAGATGGAAATAAGGTAATTGCTTTATCTTTATTGGCACTTGTATACATATTTGGGCGCCATCTTTTAAACACTTGAATATGTTAATACTCTGAATTCCATTGGTTAAATGTTTCTGTGGGTATTGTTGTTAAGTACCGTGGAGGTTGGTTCCGACTCACGGGGACCCTGCACAGGGTTTCCGAGGCTGTCATCTTTACGGGAGCAGAAAGCCTCATGTTTCTCCCATGGAACAGCTGGTAGTTTCGAACTGCTGACCTTGAGGTTAGCAGCCCGATTTGTAGCCACTACGCTACCAGAGTAGGTAGAAAAAAGAAATATATTAAATGATTGGAAGAATTTTATGTAATTTTATTTTGTGTTTCTGTTTGAACTGTAAAATACTTTTGTAAGCATTGTGCTTAGTAAGCAGCAATTTAAAATTTCCAAAGCACCAAAGAAGTATAAAGGAGCTTTGTAAGTAATCCTTATAGTTGTCAGTGGCATTGAGTTAGGGATAGCCATCATTTCCTATATGTTTTCCAACTCATGATGGTATAAACCTTGCTGTGTCCTCTACTTACAAATCTTGGATTTGTGGTATGTGGGGGTCTCAGAAATTTATGGAAAAATTCCATCATCTTTTAATTCAATTTTTCCATGAACTTTAAAAATTCTTCGATATTAATATTGGGCTATGTATATGTAATAGCTTGTAAGTAGATGATTGGTGATTATATTGTATCAGTGAATTACTACCAATTTCATTATGTAAATTTGACTAACACTTGAGCTAATACTGTATCTAGATTTTTTTCATATCTGCATTTAATCCTAGTAATAGTCTTCTAAAGTAGGTAAATTTATCCTGTTTTTAAGGTGAAAACATTAAATCTAGAAAGTTGAATCCCTGCCTGCCATGATAATAACTCCTTGCTCATTTTCATTGAAATACAGTTTTCTAGTGTGGTCTGTGGGTTAACGTGCTGCAAGGTCAGTGGTTCAAGTTGTGGGTCAGAACTGACTTGACGGCACTGAAAAACATGCGTAAAAAATTTTTCTCACACACTTATTGGTAGTCCTGGTGTGGTACTAGGTTGGTGGTTCAAACCCACTAGTCACTCCTTGGAAGCAGTGTCACTATGAATTGGAACTGATTCAATGGCATTTAACAACAATAGTACTTACTGAATCATTGAAAGAAAGCTATGTATTATATATACAGGCACATAGCATGTGAAGAAGGAATACAGATAAATATGTGTTTACTAGAACTGATTTGATTTTTCTGGTAATACATCCACTTACTGACATGATTAGTTTTGAAAGGCTAAGTCATTATGCAAAAATTGGCATTTTGCAGAAATGTAGGGTGACCACATTAGATAAACAAAATGGAGAGTGACTACATTTTTAGATAACTGTGGAATTACCTAATTACATAACTACCAACTATTGAGAATTGTGGCCCAGCCATGACTGGGTTGGCACTAACCGTAACCCTAACTGCCGGCATTACTCTTGCCTAGCATCTCTGTGCTTATTATTATTACCAGACGTACATCTTTAATAAGCAAAATAGTTGGATAGTAGAGTCTTTATTACATTGTCATAAATGTGAAGTATTGGATAATGAGTTGGTTGATAGTGAGGAGTAGCTGTTCAGTTTTTGACACCAGCAATAGTTGTTAACTGCTGTCTCTTTGGTTCCAACTCATAGCAACACTGTATAAGATTTCCAAGGAGTAGCTGGTGGGATTGAACTTTGTGGTTATCAGTCCAGTGCTTATCCTACAGCACCACACCAGGACTCCAGTGATAGTATAGATATTAATTATTTGAATAATTCCATTCTAGAAATTGTAAAAAATTATAAAATTAATTAGAAAAACATAGTTTGCATTTAAGTTATGTATAAAATGGTTTCCTGAAAGTAGTAATGGACATGCTCTTTTTCTCTTCCACAAACATTAGAAATCAGTAAATGATGGAAGCAGTAAGAAATCAGGCTCTGGGAATTCTGGAAAAGGTGGAAACCAGCTGCGCTGTCCTAAATGTGGTGACTTGTGCACACATGTAGAGACCTTTGTGTGTGAGTATTACTTCTTTTAGAGTTTGTTTGTTCCTACCTTTTCTATAAAGTTTTTATTGTTGCTGTTAGATGCTGTCAAGTAGCTTCCAACTCCTGGCGCCCTTATGCACAACAGAATGAAGCACTGCCTGGTCCTGCACCAACCTCACAATCATTCAATTTGAGTCCATTGCTGCTGCCACTGTGCCAATTCATGTCATTGGGAGTCTTCCTCTTTTTCACTGACCTTCCACTGTACCAAGCTTGATGTCCTTCTTCAGGAACTGATCCCACTGGATAATAGTCTGAAGTATGAGAGAATACTTGCTCTCCTGGCGTCGAAGGAGCATTCTGGTTGTCCGTCTTCCAGTACAGATTTGTTCTTCTGTCTGTCCATAGTACTTTTAATATTTTTCTCCAGCACTGTAATGCAAATGCATCAATTCTTCTATGGTCTTCCTTATTCATTGTCCAACTTTTACATGCATATGAGGTTATTAAAAATACCATGGCTTGGATCAGACATACCTTAGTCCTTACACTGACGTCTTTGCTTGTAAGCACTTCAAAAAAGTTTTGTGCAGCAGATTTGCCTAATGTTACTTGATTTTTTTGACTGCTGCTTCCAAGAGTTGATAGTAGATCCAAGCTAAATGAAGTCTTTCACAACTTCAGTCTTTTTTCCATTTGTCGTTATTGGCCTAGCGGTGAGGATTTTTATTATCTTTACATTGAGATGCAGTCCATACTTGAAGGCTCTGGTCTTTGATCTTATCAGTAAGTATTTTAAGTCTTCTCCACTTTCCGCAAGCAAGGTTGTGTCATCTGCATATCACAGGTTGTTAATGAGTCTTCTTCCAGTCCTGATGCCACATTCTTCTTCATATAATCCAGGTTCTTGGATTATGTGCACAACATACAGATAGAATAAGTATGGTGAAAGAATGCAACCCAGGAGCACACCTTTCCTAATTTTAAATCATTCAGTGTCCCCTTACTCTGTTTGAACTACAGCCTCTTGGTTCCTCAAGAGCACAATTAAGTGTTCCGGGATACCCATTCTCCGCAATGTTGTCCATAGCATGTCATGATCAAAACAGTCGAAAGCCTTTGCATAGTCAGTAAAGCACAGGTAAGCATCTTTCTGGCATTCTTGGCTTTCAGCGAAAAATCCATCTGACATTAGCAATGGTATTGCTCATTCCATGTCCTCTTCTGAACCTGGCTTGACCCTCTGGCAGTTCCCGGTCAGTGTACTGTTGCAGTCTTTTTAAAATTATCTTTAGCAAAATTTTACTTGCATATGATATTAATGATATTGTCTGATATATGATATTAATGATATTGTCTGATGATTTCCACATTCCACTGGGCCACCTCTCTTTTGAATAGGAACGAATATGGATCTTACCAGTCAGTTGGTCAGAATCTCTTTCAATCAGTTGGTCTTCCAAATTACTTGGCATAGATGAGTGAGTGCCTCAAGTGTTACATCTGTTTGTTGCAAGATTTCAATTTGAATGCCATCAATTTCCAGAGCCTTGTTCTTTGCTAGTGCCTTCATGCACCTTGAACTTCTTCCTTCAGTACCATGGGCTCTTGATCATATACTGCCTTTTGTGAACATATACCATTACTCTTTGGTATAGTGACTTTGTGTTTATCTGCCATCTTACTGTTTTTTTTATTTTAAATGTTTTATTGTGAATTGTGTGATAGTCTACATGGGAGAACATCAGCTTTACATCCATTCCATCATCCATCATTTTATTGGCATAGTTGTCAATCCTGTCCATGCATCCTCACCCAACCAAGGGGTGTACCCTGTAAGCCTGCACCCCTCCCCCTACCACAGTCCTCAGCCCCTTGCCATCTCCTGATCCTGAATCCCCAGCCCCACCCTCTCTTGACGTCATCTTCTCTGCTTCCATCTCAGGCCTCACTGCCCCTCTGGTAGGATTCCACTCTTCGCTCTTCTCCATCGATGGTCCCAGGGTCCTCCACTCCTAGACTGATAAGTTAATCACTCCCCTCTCTGCTACAAAATGTCCATCTTTAGATTTCCAACCCTCACAATCAGTCCTGATAACAATCATTCACCATTTTGGCATCTTCTTTTGATGCTTTCTGCATCATTTAATATTTTGCCCTTAGAATCCTTCAGTATTTACAAGTCAGGCTTGAAGTTTACCTTCAGTTCTTCCAGCTTGAGAATTGTTGAGCATATTCTTCTCTTCTGGTGTTCTAAATCCAGGTCTTTGCACATTTCATTAAAATACTTGACTTTGTTTTCTTGAGCTGCCCTTTGAAATTTTTGTGTTACTGCTTTTGCCTTCTAATTTCTTCCATTTGCTTTAGCATATCTATGCTGGAGAACAAGTCTCAGAGTCTTTCCTGACAACTATTTTGGATTTTTCCTTCTTTCTTGTCTTATGACCTTTTACTTTTCTTCCTGTATGATATTCTTTATGTCATCCCTAAACTCCACTGGTCTTCGGTCATTAGTGTCTAATGCATCAATCTGTTCTTGAAATGATCTCTAAATTCAGGTGGGATATGTTCAAAGTCATAATTTAGCTTTCATACACATGTTTTAATTTTCTTTAGCTTCAGCCTGAAGTTGCATATGAGCAATTGATGATCTGTTCCATAGTCTGTCCCTGGCCTTTTTTTTTTTTTTTGGCTGATGATATGGAGCTTTCCCACCGTCTCTTTCTACAAATGTAGTCAGTTTGATTTCTGAGTATTCCATCTGGTGAGGTCTATATGTATAGTTGTCTTTTATGTTGTTTAAAAAGGCATTTGCAATGAAAAAGTAATTGGTATTGCAAAATTCCTATCATACGAACCCCAACACCGTTTCTGTCATAAAGGCCGGATGTTCTAATTACTTATCCTTCCTCATTGTTTCCAACCATTATATTCTAGTCACCAGTAACCATCAATACATTATGATTCCATGTTTGATAATTTTAGAAGTTGGTAGAATTATTCTATTTCATCATAACTGGCTTTAGTGGTTATTGCATAAATTTGAATAATAGTGGTATGAACTGGTCTGCTTTGTAGGTGTGTGGAAATTATCCTACCACAGACAGCATTCTGCTTCAAGATAGATCTTGAAATGTTCTTTTTGATGAATGCAATGCCATTCCTCTTTAATTTGTCATTCCCATTATAGTAAACTGTATGATTGTCAGATTCAAAATGACCAATACCAGTCCATGGATCTTTATGAGTTCCATTTCATTTTTAACAATTTCCAAATTTCTTAGATTCATACTTTGTACATTCCATGTTCTGAATATTAATGGATGTTTATAGCTGTTTCTCCTCGTTTCCAGTTGTGCCTCATCAGCAAATGAAGTTCCAGAAAGCTTTTCTCCATTTGCGTTATCATGGTCAACTCTACTTTGAGGAGGCAGCTTTCCACCAAAAGTAGCATTTTGAGTGCCTTCCAACCTGAGTGGCTCATCTTCTGGCAGTATAACTGACAATATTCTGGTGCTATTCATAACATTTTAATGTTCAATATACTGGTGCTATCTAACAGTGTTCCAGTGTTTTCAGTGGCTAAATATTAAAAAAATAGTCCACGGCTCCATCTTCCTCGTCTGTCTTAGTTTGGAAACTCAATTGAAACCCCAGGTTGACATACCCTGCTGGTATTTAAAATACTAGTGGTATGCTTTCCAACATCACAGCAACACCTAAGCCAGCACAGTACAACAAACTGACAGATAAGTTTTAAAAACTTTATACACCAGAGTTTTTTTTTTCCTGGGCTTATATGATTCTCTTTTGTGTTCACCGGATACTAAAAATCTCCAGAATTGATATACTTTGTTTGTGCTGTGATATAAGAAATATATTTGATTGTTGTTGTTGTTGTTGTTGTTGTTGTTAGGTGCTGTGTAGTTGATTCTGACTCAGCTCCCCTATATACAACTGAACCAAACGTTGCCTGGTTCTGCACAGTGTTGTCATGTTCGAGACCAAGGTTGGAGCCCCTGTGTCAGTAGATTTTGTGGCTGATCTTCTTTTTTGCTGGCCGTCTACTTTACCAAGCATGATGTCATTCTTAAGGGATTGGCCCCTGCTGATAACACGTCCCAAGTCTTGCCACCCTCACTTCTAAGGAGAATTAGGCTGATTTGTTTGATTTTCTGGCAGTCCCTGAAAATAGTCAGTATTCTCCACCAACACCATAATTCAAATGCAGAAATTCTTCTCTTGCTTTCCTTATCATTGACCAACTTTCACATGCGTATGTTGTTGTTACATGCCATCTCATAGGTTCCGACTCACAGTGATCCTGTGTATGCAGCTGATCTTCATCTGTAAGCGCTTTAAGTTCTCTTCCAACATCTGCATATTATAGGTTGTTAATGAACCACCTTCCTCTACTCCTGATGCCAATTTCTTCATGTAGTCCAACTTACATGTATTTATTTCAAGGTGCCCTGGTGTGGTGCTGTAGGATTGTTGTTGTTGTTAAGTGCTGTCGAGTCAACTCCAACCCACAGCGACCCTGTATAGAGTTTCCAGGGAGCAGCTGGTGAGCTTAAATGACCGACCTTGCTATAGGATTGTTGTTGTTGTTGTTAAATGCCATCGAATCGGTTCCGACCCATAGCGACCCTGGATAGGGTTTCCATGGAGCAACTGGTGAGCTTGAACCTCTAACTTTGCAGTTCAAACGGCTTTGCAGTCTGGCGCATTAACCCACAGCGCCACACCAGGATTCCTATAGGATTGTTGTTGTCAGGTGCCTTCGAGTCAGAACCGACTCATAGCGACCCCATGCACAGCAGAACGAAATAATGTCCAATCCTGGGCCAACCTCACTACTGCTGCCACATTTGACACCATCAATGATGCCACCTGGCTGATCCATCTCGTTGGGGGTCTTCCTCTTTTTCTCTGACCCTCCACCTTACCCAGCACGACATCCTTCTCCAGCGATTGTTCTCTCCGGACAATGTGTCCAAAGTAGGAAAGACGAAGCTTCCAAGGAGCAC